GTGTGGGGTTGGGGGGGTTTCCTGTCGCCACAGTGGATTAGTGGGGTCAGGGTCGGCCAAGGGGTGCCTCGGCCATTTGGTGGCTGAAACCGTTGTTTGGCCACGCCCAGGGTTTTGCTTTGTACACAGGGCTGTGTCTCCCTGTGTCTCAACCCTGTTGCAAAGGGAGCGTAATCTTGCATTGCTTCTTTCGCCTGGTGATGGGGGCCTGATGTGGGCCGGGAGGCTTGCGATTGGTGATGTGTACGTGCCTGGACCATTCACCAATCGCATGCGCTCGGCGTTCTGCGCTTTCCATCGAGACCTTACCTGCAAGCCCGTCGAAGTCCCAACACCCCGACCCCGCATTCCGCCCTTCAGCTCAACACTGGTACAATCTTTGCCATCGCACACACGGGTGTACGCACGCACGCACATTTCCACACACGAACCCACACGAATGCATACACAACCTCACTCATGAAACTTGCATGAACCCACAAACATGCACACATGCACACATGCCCACTACTGCACAAACAAAAGCGCACATCGACACCCCCCCACACCCAACCTCATACACACATACACACACACATGCACACACAATCCACATCCACACACGAACACACATCCACACACCCCCACACACTCCCACACCCAACCCCACTCACCCCACCCCCAGGTCCCCGAGGACGCCCACGCCATCGACCTGGTGTTCCAGGACGCCCCGGGCGGCCAGGGCTTCGCCGACGACAACGGCGGCCTGGATTACCACATCCCAGTCATCGGCGGCAGGGGGCAGGCCCCCGTGCTTAAGGTAGTGCACGTGGCGGTGGAGATGGCGCCCATCGCAAAGGTGGGTGCGTGCGCTTGCACCTGCGTAGGCGTCGATGCACTGCCTTGATTTCCTTCATGTGACTCGGCCCACAGGCTTGTTGTCTGTGTTCAGCCACTTGCTGCTCCGCCGGCCCTGGCCCCCTCTTATCTTCAGGGTGGGATTAGGGCACCTTGTTTCCTTTCGCCGGGCTGCCAGCTGTTTGCAGTCCAAATCCTATGCACGCTTGCCCTTAGCCTGCCCTCAACAGCCTTCCCCGCCCCCCTCCACCCCCACCTCATCCTCCCACCTCAAGGTCGGGGGCATGGGTGACGTTGTGACGGCCCTGGGCCGCGCGGTGCAGGACGAGGGCCACAGCGTGGAGGTGCTGGTGCCGAAGTATGACGTCATCAACTACGACCAGGTGGGCCGCAGCCGCCAGCGCATCGCACATCTGAAGCCGTTAACTCCTGCAACTAAGGGCGGAGCTTGAAGGGGAGTGCTTTCAGGAAGGGGGACGGCTGGGGTGCAGCCCCGCCGTGGGCACTCAGCTGGCAAGGCCGCCTCCGGCCAGCGGTCGGGCTGCTCGGCCTTGCAGCGCCAGCGCACCTGCGTTGCAGCCAGCTGATTCACCGTATGTCTCAACGAACAACAATCGTCGGTCCCTCTACTGGCGCCGCACCCACCTACCTACCCAAGGTGGAGGACCTGGTGCAGGACGGGTCCTTCTTCTTTGAGAACTGCCAAGTCAAGGTCTGGAAGGGCAAGGTGAGCGGGGTTTTGGGGCGTACCGCGGGCGTGGGCACCCACAGGGGTTGAATGCAGCTTGTCCCTTCACTTGTAGGCCTTGGTTGCTGGTGTGGCGAGACTGGGCGGCACGCAACTCGCGTCCGCCTTGTATCACCCTGACTGCTTGAGGTGGCGCTGCTGCCGCAGCCCATCTCCCATAGCATCCGCTGAGGCCTCCCCAAAAGCGCGCGCACACACGCGCACACACACACGCACGCATGTGTGCACTCACGAACGAACGCAGGCACGCACGCACACACAGCTGCACGACCCACCAAGGGCATGCACATGAGCACACACGCAAAAGCAACAAAGCCACTCGCGCAACCATCCGCAACCCCTTCCCTTCCCCCCCACCCAAAGGTCGAGGGCCTGCCCACCACGTTCCTGGAGCCGGAGAACGGCCACTTCTGGCGCGGCTGCATTTACGGCCGCAACGACGACCACGTCCGCTTTGGGTTCTTCTGCGGCGCAGCCCTGGAGTACCTCAGGGTGAGCGGCGCGCCCGGGGGTTGCGCCGGCGTTTTTTTTTTCCGGGGCTGATATCTCGGGATTCTGCACCTGCATGACGGCAAGCTTGGTGATTTCATGGCAGGCGTTATCTGGGTGATTTTGCAGACCGCCTCGTGAGCCACCCAGATCCCAGCCCGCCCTTGAATCTCCCGGTCGGGGCTTTTGGGGCAGAAGTCATCGCTGATTGCAAGGAATAGCGAGCGCCTGGGCTACCTTCGCGCACCCCCCCCCCTTTGCACGCTGATAGCACACTGGCACAGACCAGTGGCGCAACACAGCCAACCTCTGATTGTGTACAACGCCCACCTGGCGTCGCCCCGCCTCATGTAACCCCTTCTTCCCCTGATACACACACACACACACACACACACACGCACCACCCCCCACACATCTCCCAGGTCCGCAACGTGAGGCCGGACGTGATCCACGCCCACGACTGGCAGTCCGCCCCCGCCTGCTGGGGCAACCGCAACGGCGCCGGCTGCGTGTTCACCATCCACAACCTCAACTACGGGGCGGACCTCATTGCGCGCGCCATGGCGGCCTGCGACGTCGCCACCACGGTGTCGCCCACATACGCGCGCGAGGTGCGGCCGCGCGCGCATGCGCCGCCAGTGCGCCCCGCGCTTTAAAGCTGTTTTTGTCTCCACAACCTATGCGTAAGTCAAACGCCATGTGCTGTGTTGTTGCCACTCATGCCTGGCTGGTTGCTGTCCTCTGGAGGGTTCTGGCCCTTCAGCAGCCCCCGGCCCTCACGCGACGCGCTTCACGTCAATGCACCCTCAAAACCGCCACCGGTGCTTCGTGGCCACCCTCATCACCACCCTAGCATCGGCCGTTGTCATTCATCCGCACCAATGAACACAATACTGCGCACCCTCACGCCCACACAGGTCAGCGGCAGCCCTGCCATCGCGCCGCACCTGTCCAAGATGTACGGCATCCGCAACGGCATCGACCAGGACATCTGGGACCCCAGCGCTGACGAGTTCCTGCCCATGCAGGTGGGGGGCCCCCACAGAGACCGAGACGGCGCCAGCCGCGGCCGCCGCACTCATCACGCTCGGCGGCCGCCGACAGCGGGTTGTGGTGACGGCCGAATGCTGGGTTGAGGGGTCGCTGCTCCTCAGCGGTGTTTGCAGGCGATCTGCCCTCGTGTTGCTGAGACCCCATCTGTCTGCACCTCTTTCTTCGGATGCCCCATGACCCAAGCTCCGCCCAACCCAACCTCACCCCCAACGCCCACCCCCGCTCCCTGGTCCTCAAAACAGTATGGCCCAGAGAACCACAAGGAGGGCAAGGCCGCCGCCCGCAAGGAGCTGCGGCGCCGCCTGGGCCTTGCCGACGTGGACGTGCCCATCGTGTCGGTTGTGACGCGCCTGGTGCACCAGAAGGGCATCCACCTCATCAAGCATGCGGCCTGGAGGACGCTGGAGCGCGGCGGGCAGTTTGTGCTGCTTGGCAGCGCGCCGGACGGCCGCGTGCAGGTGGGGCTGGTGGGGCTGGTGGGGCTGGTGGGGCGGGGCGGGAGAGGACATTGGCTGCAGGCGGTGCCGACTGCCTGCTCCCGTGTTGATGTGTAGCGCTGCAGCAGCATGCGCTGGGGGCCCTGATATACCAATAACCTTTACACACACACATGCGCGCGCGCACACACACACACACACACACACACACACACACACACGCGCGCGCGCGCGCGCACGCGTGCGTATCCCAACTCCTGCTCTATCCCAGCCAACTCACGCACCCCGCTTCCCATGGCATCGCTCACCTCCCACCTCTCCCCCCTCAACCCTCCCTCAACCGGCCCCCCCTCTCCCTCCCCCTCCCCACAAACCCTCTCCCCCCGAACCACGCAGGGCGAGTTCAACGCGCTGCGCGACCAGCTGGTGCGCACCTACCCCGAGCGCGCCGGCCTGTGGTTTGCGTACGACGAGCCCCTGAGCCACCTCATCTACGCCGCGTCAGACATGTTCCTGGTGCCCTCCATATTCGAGCCCTGCGGACTCACACAGATGGTGGCCATGAGGTGCGATGGGAGCTGGGGGGGTGGGCCCGCGGGGCGGCGCGCGCACAGTGTGCACGTGCGTGTGGTCTTGCAGAGGGAGGGGGTTGTGGGCGCTGCAGCAGCCTGCGAGCTAAGTGACGAATTGTGCCAGGCATCCTGGACCCCTCAATCAACATGTGCTCCCAGTTGAACAGCTGGCTGACAGCTTGGGTACCGTCAGATTGTGCCTGTGCTCTTTCAATTTGTGCCTGTATCCATAACCAGTTTTTTCTATGTACCGCTCCGTTCACCCCTGGCACCCTGCTTCGCCCCTCTGCTCCCCATGCGCGCACGGCCCAGGTACGGCACCATCCCCGTGGTGCGCAAGACTGGCGGCCTCAACGACACAGTCTTTGACATTGACCACGACGAGGAGCGCGCGGCAGCAGCGGGTGAGCGTCGCCCTGCCGCCGCCCGCACTGCTCCTTCAGCCGCCTGCACGCCCCCAAACCTCCACCCGCCAGTGCTTGAAGGGGAGACCTCTAGTGGCCGCGGAATGACTGGGCCACCCTTGCGTCTAGCCTGCGGCCGGCGTGGCTGCCAACCTGTCACGCAGGATGACAGAGGGCTGGGCAAGGGCTCTCCCTTGCAGCAGCTGCTGGGGCCTTCCTTATCTTGACCGTGCCATACACGCAAGACCCTCGCAACCCCAACCTTTCTCAACCCACCCTTGCCGTTGGCTCATCAGCCCATGACCTTAATACATGCACTTTCCACTTTCATCGCCCCCAGGGCTGCAGCCCAACGGGTTCTCCTTTGAGAGCACCGACACCGCGGGCATGGACTACGCGCTGAACCGCGCCCTGTCGGCCTGGTACAGCGACAAAGACTTCTGGGACGAGCTCGTGGCGCGCGTCATGACGCAGGTGAGTTTATGCGGGGACCTTTGTCACCCTGTTGAAGTTTTGGTTGGGTTTGCTGCACGTCGCAGCGCACGCCGTTATCAATCTTGTGCATGCCGAGGATCAATCTTATGCCCGGCAACCACCGCTCTGAACCGCAGGACTGGAGCTGGGACGACCCAGCCCATGGCTACATTGGGCTCTACTACAAGTCGCTCAAGCGGTGACGTCACACGCCCAGCATGATGACATCATCAACCGCGTCGGGGGCCGGCGCACCGGCCTGTTCGGCAGGCACCACTGGGCGTGAAAGCGCCTTTGCTCGTGCGAGGCCAGCAGAGGCGTGAACAATTGGGAGAGGGTGCGAGTGTGGGCACGGGGTGTAGTGGCGTGGCTCGTCGAAGGTTCTGGGGTATGTGTGCAGCTTGGGGAGGGGGGGAGGCGGGCCCAGTTTGGGGGCACCTCCTGCCGTCCAGGTGGCCGCATGCCCACACCCTTGGACCAGCGTTTGAGCTGCATCGCCAGAAAGCCCGGCATCCGCCTGAAACAACCGTGCGCCCCGCGTTGCAATGGTGGTGGATCATCTTACGTGCACTCACACAAGGCCGGTGGCCCATCGCGTGTGCCTGAGTCACGCACGGCCATGCATGCTGCAATTACTCTTGATTCCCTTGTCCTAATTTCAAACTCCCTGGCAGTGGCCCTTTGATTTTGCAGGATTTGCTGTCGTACTCTATTTGCGTGCCGCGCGTTAGTGGGGGCGCTGCGGCGGAACCTTTTCAGTGGAGACATCGCACTTGCAAGCACGCCTCCCCGGCGGCGGCCCCCACGTATTTGTGACAATATTGCATGCTGTGCATGCCTTTTGGAGTTTTGCAGGATTGCTTTGGTACCAAGGTGCCGGTGATTGTGGCAAGCAACGTGCGTGGCACCACGTTCAAGGGTGCAGAGCCACGTATGACTGCGGTCCTGCGCAGCTTTGCGCCGCATGCGGTGGGGCCTGGGCCGTGGCTGGTCATCAGCTGGCTGCATGTGCATCCTTATGTGGGACGCAGCGCGGCTGCCCATGCTGGGAGGCCTCTGCATCCGGCATGCGCATGAATTTTCCACGCTGGTGGCACTTTCTCCCGCCTTTGCTGGTTTCCCTGGTACTGGTAACAGTGGGCAACTCAAGCCAACCCGTGCCGTCAGTTCACCATATCAGTGTTGCGGGCTGCACATAGAATATCGTGCAAGGGAGTGGCAATCTGATGTGCAGGAGTGGTGAAAAGCTGGCGGCTGCAGAAGGTGCACCAAAGCAGCTGCGCGCAATGAGTACTGCGACCCAGCCTATGTCGCCATCGTCGTCGTGGGGGCCTTCATGCGCTTTGAAATGAGATTTTCATATAAGTATCATATCATGCTTGATTCCCCCGCAGCTTCCCAACCCTGAGCGACATATGGTACCGGAGCGACGGTCAGCCTCCTCGTTGACGACAATCTGCTAGGAGTAGACGCTCACAACCCTTCGTGGGGCCCATCAGGGTTTGACAGACAGAGTGCCCAAGTACAGATATTCAGCAGCGCTCCGCTTGCTCTTATGGTGGCTTTCCCACTCGCAGCTTGGGTTTTCTTCGAGCTTGCAGGCTCGCACACGATGATTGTATAGCTAGAATCTATTTAGCGGCTCTTTGCTGGATGCGGCCCCGCGTCCATGACGGAGCCGGGCTTGGTCGCAGCACGCGGCCTCCGCGGGCCTGGTGAGGGGACACATAACTCCACGAGCAGCAATGTGTTACATTGAAGGAGCAGTGTGTCGCGAAGGGCTCGGTGTGACCAACTCAAATCCATCTGATCTTGCAGGTTGCTCTCAGGGGCACCTCAAATTTTACAGCGGAGACCATGCGAATGCTGGGACACTTCTGAGCGCTGTCATGGGCGACAGCATCTTGCGCTGCGCGCGGTGGAGCGTCCCGCTGCCGTCGTCGACACAGCAGCAGCAGCAGCAGCGGGAGCAGCGGCAGGGGCAGCAAGCTCGACAGCCGCTGCATCGGCAGAGGAACCGGCCGGCACCCATTGGGGCGCGGTAGATGACCTGCTACAGCAGCTGTCCCGTTGTTCCTCTTGGCAGCATGGACACACGCTGCTGCTGCCCCTGCAACGGCAACAAAGCTGCGGGGCCCTCGGGGGCGCTGCCGTGGTTCAGGCTGCCTGCCTCGCGGCCGACCTTGTGGCGCAGCAGCAGCAGCCGCGGCGGCAACGACAGCAACAGCAGCAGCAGCAGCCGTGTCACAATAACCACAATCAGCAGCAACAGCAGCACCAAATTCACCAAGGGTCACAGCAGCAGCAACAGCACCCACAGCAGCAGCAGCTGCAGCAGCAGCTGCAGCAGCAGCAGCAGCAGCAGCACCAGCACCAGCTGGAAGCCTATGTTCTGCTTGCCCTCGAGTTGGTCGACGCCAGTTGGGCCACCATGCCGGCAAGGCAGCTGCCCGCCGTCCTTCGCGCAGTGCAGACGCTCCGCGCCGCTGCACCCGGCTGCAGCTACGCGCTGCTCACGCGGCCGCTGCCGCGCGGCAACGGCGCGCCCATCCGCGGCAACTGCATCACAACGGCCCTGGGAAGCTGCCGGGAAGCCCCCGACCTGGCTGCCGTGCTGCGCGCGCTGCGGCCGCACATGGGCCGCGTCCACGCGGCCGCGGCGGCCGTGCGCCTCGCGCGCATCGCCGAGGCGAGCGGGCTCCTGCGGCCCCTGGCGGCCGGCGGCACAGGGCCACCAGCGGCGGCTGCGGGCGCGTGCGCGGCGGCAGCAGCAGCCGATGATGACTGGTCAGAGCTTGCATTCTGCATGGAGGCCGTGGAGGGGCTCCTCCAGCAGGAGGCACACAACCTGGCGCCCCATGAGACGGCCCAGGCGCTGTGGGCGCTAGGCAAGCTCGCGCCGCTGGCGGACGGCCGCGGCGGGGGCGTCCCAGTGCACGCAGCACGGCAACGGGAGCGGGCGGCGCTGCGGCGGCAGCTGCTGGACGGCTTCCTGTCGTGCCTACCAGACCTGGGGGCGCGAGAGGTCACCATGGGTGCCCATGGCACAGCCAACCTGCAGGCGGACCTGGACATTGGGGCGCGCAGCGTGGCGGCTGTCGTGGAGGCCGCGCGGCGCGTGATGGCGGCGTCCGGACCGAGAGAGCTGGCCAATACGGCCTGGGCGCTCGGGCGGCTGCAGCAGTGGGAGGAGGAGCGGGCGCTTGAGAGCCGGGGGCAGCAGCAGCAGGAGGAGCGGTGGGAGCAGTGGCAGAAACACTGCTTGACGCCGCTGCGCGCGTGGCAGGAGGAGTTTTTGGAGGTCAGCCGCGGCATGCTGCTGCCGCCTCGGCCCCACCAGTTGCGAGAGCGGCATGCCAGCCCCGGTGCTGGTGGTAGAAGCGGCGCCAACGGCAGCAGCAAAGGCAGCAGCAACGGCGGCGGCGGCGACGGCAGGGGTCAGGCTTTCAACGCTCAGGAGCTGGCGAGCGTCCTCTGGGCAATGGCCGCGCTGCGCGCCGCGCCGCCGCCCGGGTGGCTCTCGGCGGCCGAGGCCGCGGCGGCCCCTCGCCTGGGGGAGTGCGACCACCAGCAGCTGGCAACCATATCCTGGGCCCTCTGCCGCCTCAACCACGCGCCCGGCCAGGCGTTCGCGGACCGCGCCGCGGCCGCCGCGCAGCTGCTGCTGCCGCGCGCGACGGCGCGCAGCCTGTCGCTCCTCGTCTACGCGGCCGCGCGCCGCGGGCGGTGGCCGTCGGAGGGCTGGGTGGACGAGCTGTGGCGGCTCATGCGCGACCGCGGCGCGGAGGCGGAGGGCGTCGACGCAGAGGGGCTGGCCGGGGCGCTGGCGGTATTGGGGCTGGACGACCCGTCTAATGGGCAGGAGAGCGGAGGCGGCGCGGCGATGGAGGCGCTGGGGAGTTATGAATCCCTGCCGCCGTCTGCCGGCGGCGCGGCGCCCGCGTGGCTGCAGGCTGCGCTGCGGCAGGGCGGGGGGCGGCTGCGGGAGGGCAGCGACCGGGACGTGCTCCTCACGCTGTGGGGCGTTGCGCGCAGCGGCGAGCGGCCGGGCGGCGCGTGGCTCGCCGCCGCTCTCTCGGGCGCCGCGCAGCGGCTGCCGCGGTTCACGCGGCAGGGGCTGGCGATGGCGGCGTGGGCTGCGGGGCGGCTGGAGCCCCACAGCGGCGGCGGCAGCGGCGCCAGTGCGCCATACCGCGCCGCGGCGGCCGCCATGCTCGCCGCGCTGCAGGCGGAGACGCGGCGCCACCTCGCGTCGCTCTCGCCGCACGAGCTTTCGTGCGTCGTGTGGGGTACAGCGCGCCTCGCGCGCGCTTGCGGCAGCGGCGGCAACGGCGGCAACGGCGGCAGCGGCGCGGCGGCGGCCGGAGGCGCGATCGAGCCCGAGTGGGCGCTTGCGGCAGCGGCGCGCGCCTCAGCCCTCCTCCCGAGCATGACGCCCCAAGAGGCGGCAGCCGTGCTGCAGGCCGCCCAGCTGCTGCCCGGTGGGCCGCTGGCGGGCCACCTGTTGGATGCGGTGCTCGACCCAGATGCACTCGCGCTGTCGTCCTGGGGCCCACGCGAGCTGCAGGCCATCCTCCACGCGTGCGCGGCCTGCGGGCGCCGGCCCCCGCCGCCGCTGATGCACCACCTGCTGGCGGCGACGCAGCGCCACCTGCCGACGTGTGGCGCGCGGCGGCTGGCCTCGATTGGGTGGGGGGTGGCGAAGATGCAGCAGCTGTGGTACAGGCAGCGGTGGCGCGCGCGGGAGGAGAGGCGGGAGGCGCGGAGGGCGCGGCGGAGGGCGCTGCTGCTGTCGGGTCGGTCGCAACCGCAGCCGCGGCCGCGGCGGGCGGAGCGCGGACCGCGGTCGCTCGCCCAGGTGCTGCAGCAGCGGCAGCAGCGGCAGCATGCTGCGGTGCTGCCCGCCCTGCAGCAGCCGCACGAGCAGCAGCAGCAGCAGCAGCAGCAGCAGCAGCAGCAGCAGCAGCCTGGTGGAGCCGACGGTGCCTCGGACACGCAGCCGCAGCAGCAGCAGCAGCGCCGGCGCCGCGCCGCGGCGCCTGACCCGCCGCCGCCGCCTGTGCCTGTGCGCTGGGTCGCCGCGTACGCGTGTGCCTGCGAGGCGCGAGTTGGTGAGATGGACCCCTCACACCTGTCTGCGGTGGTGTGGGCCCTGGCAAGCATGGGGGCAGTGGCAGCGCCCGCCTGCTGCTGCAGGAGCCATTCAGAGCACCCTTCGCAGGCGGGCAGCGGCAGCGACAGCGCGGATGGCGGCAGTGGCAGCGAAAA